CAGTAAGTCTTTTTGCTTTTTTTTATGGTAGAGCTGCTATGCAAGAGCTAGATGTTGCATTATAATGCTGGAGAACTCTCAAGCAGATCATTTGGGGGAATAAAGGGCGTAATATAGACATGAAAGATAGAAAAAGAATATCTAGTTAATCTGATTCTTGATACCTAAGGTCACTATAGTGGGAAGCTGTAACAAAAAATTACCATGTAAATGGAAAATAACAAGCCCAGATTATAGTAAATTGCTAGATGGACAGTAGGTAACTCAGTGGCAGGGAACAGTAAATTAGTTGCTATTGAGCAGAAATGAACTGTGATATTTGACTTCAAACTAGTTTTAATACTGGGGGAAGTAAATATATTGCCAGCTAAGAATAAAGATGATGATGGTAAAGCTTCACCTTTTTACAACTCTTCTTCCATAACTCTTCATCAAATACTTTAAATATCTGAATTTTTATAGGTAGTCAATTCAGGGTACAGCAAAATTGTGCCTTCGCCAAGAGTTACAGAGCATAAGTATATAATACAATAACGGGAGAGTTTCATGATTTTGGGTTCTCAGCTTGAGACTCCTCAAGGGAGCCTGACTTGACGCTCAGAGGTTCCTTCAAGACCAGGCCTGGCTTTCTTCAGTATCTTAATCTGAGACCCCAAAATCATTGAAAGTAAAAAAATAAATAACAAAACAAAACAAAAAGGGGAGAGCTGAACCCGATGATCTTGCAAGGTCCCTTCCAGCCCCTTACAATCTATGAATCTATGAACATATTAATATTGTAATTGCTAATATACATCAGTAACATTGTGTATTGATGTTCATTAGTACAAATAGTAATTGTATATACGGGTTTCCTTCGATTTATTCAGTACATGCGTTCCCAGAGAACGGCTCATAAATCAAATCCTCATAAAGTGAACCCACTTTACAATGCAACAAAAAGGGATAGGTTCACATGGCGGTGAGGGAGGGAAGGAGTGAGGCTGGAACTAGGGAAGGGGCAGGGGGAGGGGTGCCACTCCCAGAGCTGCACAAAGCAGCAAAGCAGACGGAACAGAGTGGTACTCACCCCAGCCCTGGCTGCAGCGGCCCCAGGAGTGGCCAGCACCAGCTGCCTGCAGTTGCTGGGCTGCACCGTGCTCCACCTGTCCCCCACGCCTGGGCTTCACCTATCCCCACTCATCTCTGCTCCTGGGCTGTGCCATGACCTGGTGCAGGCAGCTGGTGTTGGCTGCTCCTGGGGCCACTTTAGCACAGGCTGGGGCGAGTGCAGGAAAGCAGAGCCCCAGGTGGCACGGGGCATGGCACTCATCCCAGTCCATGCTGCACCAGCCCTGTGAGCAGCCGACACCAGCTGCTTGCACCATGCCACGAACCCCCCAGGGATCTGCCTGTCCTCACTCACCCCAGCCCCTGCTGCAGGAGCCCTGGAAGTGGCTGATGCCAGCTGCCTGCACCAGGGCATGGTGCAGCCTGGGAGCAGAGGTGAGAGGGGACAGGCAGAGCCCAGGCAGCTGCTCCCAGGGCCGGCTGCTCACGGGGCCACTACAGCTGAGACTGGGGTGAGTGCCGCGCCCTGCACTGCCAGGGGTTCCACTTGTCCCCTCTCACCCCAGCCCATGCTGAAGCAGCCCCGGGAGCAGCCAACAGCAGCTGCCTGCACCATGGCACGGCACGGCGCAGCCCAGAAGCTGAGATGAGCAGGGACATGTGAGCCCAAGCACGGGGTGGACAGGCAGAGCATGGTGCAGCCCAGCAGCTGCAGGCAGCTGGTGTCGGTCGCTCCTGGGGCCGCTGCAGCCAGGGGTGGAGTGAGTGGGGCCGCGGCCTTTTCCCCTCCCCCCACAGACTTATCTGCTTGGGCAGGGGGCCGTCTACATTGATCACATAAGAGCGAATTTACCTCTCATATAACAAATTATGGGTCTAAATATGCTCATCGTATAAGAGTGAATTCACATATAAAAAACCCATATAAATTGAGGGAAACCTGTATTATGCTCTTACTAGCTTGGGGGGAGGTGTCATGTTGTAGATATACTGTTTCATGCCAGAACTAACTTCTCCAGAAATAGTTTTAGTACTTCTAGAGGTCCATATACCTCTTAGTGTCATAAATGGAAAAATAAGCTTAGTCTTCTAACTTCTAATATCCTCATCTAGTAACTGGCTTAGAGCTTTTCTACTACCAAATTTATTATTCCTCGAAAAGGGGAGAATAGATATTCGAAAAAAGTGTATCTGATTTTATTATAATTTTCTGAAACTATAATTTAGTCTCTTACACTAAGCACTGAATGCTCTGTGACTTTTTCTCTCTCAGAGACACCAAGATCAATAACATTTTATAGGATATGGGTGTAAATATTTGTGTTAATAATCAAGCATGCTTTTACAGCATTTTCCTATTTTTTGCATTCAGCTATCCCATTGTTCCTATCCAGGCAGTGAGTATAAGCCTCCTATAAGACGTTGAAGATAGTAAGAAAATGAACTATTATTCCTGTAAAAAGCAGCAGCCAACCTACAGCTTGTAGCTGTTTGTTTTGCACTATAAAAGTACATGGGTAGACTGAAATCTGTGGAGTTTTGGTGGGTTTTTTACTTTTTTCTATTGAGATTTAACTTTAATATAAGGTATTTATTTTATAGCAAATTGAATTTAATAAGATGAGATTCAAGTCCACTAGATATGAGGTTGGGAAGGAGGGGAGCTATTTTACAAACCACACAAATCCATATGTTACTTGCCACTTCTTTAGTTTAGGGTTTTTTTAAAAGTTGAAGGCTGATTTTTTTTTATGTGAAACGTATCTGTTTTGTTAAAATATTAACATTTTATTTTGTAAATTAATTAATTAGACCTTTTCTCTGTAGCCATTTGTCATACATGACATGGATACATTGTGCATGGCAGAGAAGACTTTGGTGGCAAAGCTGGTAGCTAATGGAATTCAGAACAAGGAAGCAGAAGTTCGAATCTTTCATTGTTGCCAGTGCACATCTGTAGAGACTGTAACAGAATTAACTGAGTTTGCTAAATCTATCCCTGGCTTCTCAAACCTTGACTTGAATGATCAGGTGACCCTATTAAAATATGGAGTTTATGAAGCCATATTTGCCATGCTAGCTTCAGTGATGAATAAAGATGGGATGCTTGTTGCCTATGGAAATGGCTTTATAACTCGAGAGTTTCTGAAAAGCCTAAGAAAGCCATTTTGTGATATCATGGAGCCGAAGTTTGACTTTGCAATGAAATTTAATTCACTGGAGCTTGATGACAGTGATATATCCCTCTTTGTGGCTGCTATCATTTGCTGTGGAGGTAAGAATAAACATTTATTATTAAAGGGTATTTAAGATCATCCTCTTATTAGTAATTATAATGCAATTATAACTGTTGCAGTTGATTGAATTTTTGCCTAAGGTTGGTTGTTTCTATGAGGTATTATATGGGCTTTGATCCCATGTTGTGCTGTGTTGGAACATGTCTATATATATATATATATATATGTTGTTGTTAGACTGGGGCCTTAGTGCTTTGCTTTCAGTTGGATTGTGAAGAGTATCCTTTTTGAGAAATAGGGTTTGGCATGAAGAAATATTTTTAATTTCTGAAACCGGCAAAGAAATGCCACAAGGTGAGACTGCAGCCCAAGGGAATCCCCAGGGGTCAGAAAACCTGACAGTGGAAGGTCCACACAGCCAAATCCAGCCTTGTCTAGTCAATGGGATCAGGGCTGAGTCTGCCCCCACTCATGTTTCCGGATTAGGTCAGCTGTTTCCCCCTCTTTCCCCCCACCCATACCCACACATCCAGATCAGAGCTGCCCCAGCCTCTCCTGCATATGTCTGGATTTAGGATGGGCTGCTCCCCTTCCCACCTCGCGTGCATCTGGATTGGTGCTGTTCCATCCCCACCCCCTCCAGGTGCATCCAGACTGGGGCCACCCTGCCCCTGCTGTACATGTCCGGATCAGGGCTGGGCTGCTTTGCTCCCTCCAGTACTTCTGTCTTAGTGTACAGAATCAATCAGGGTTGTGGTGAGGAGACTATGACCTGCTGTTGCAGAAGTTGAAACATGGGAATGAGGTAGGGCATTGCCAGGAATGAGGACAGTTACATAGATGTGGCACTCAAATGCTACTTGGGTAACAGGATGATGCCCTTTTCCTGCCATGGTTCCTAGAAAATTCTGGAAGTATTGTTCAAACCAAACTTTTCTCAGCTAGTTGCTAACTGTGTTCTAATTTTCTGGGTGCTTGACTTCACACCTCTGGGACTGATTTATGGAAGTGCAGGCTACTCACAGCTGCCATTGGAATAAATGGAAACTTTGCCTTCAGCACATTAAGTTCTCTGAAAATTCAAGCCTTGGATGTCTTTAGATTCACAAAATTAGTGAATACTTCTTGTATGTGGAACAGAGATAAAAATGGGAATAATACTGCCTTATCTTATAGGTTTAATATTTGTCAAGTACAGTATACAGTACATAAATCCGGAATTATTGGTATTCATAAATCCAAAATTATCAAAAATCTGGCACTTCCCCCTGCCACTCCGGGACCAGTCACCACTTCCCCCTGCTCTCCTGGACATGGAGGGGGAACTTTGCATGTGGCAGCTGCCGCCACCAGTCACCACCCCATGTAATCACTCCGCATGTGGCTGCTGCTCCAGGACCAGCCACCGCAACCCTCCCCCCACCACTTACCCGCTCCGTGGCCAGTCACCACACAGGTTTAAAAAATCTCACGTTTTCAAATGTCTGGCAGGTGCTCAGTCACAAGCACACCAGGTTATGAGATTATACTGTATTTGAATGACACAGTAAGGAGTACCATAGAAAAATGCATAAGGAATTGAGTAATTCTGACTTCAGAGCAGGATTCAAATAGTGTGAAGCAAGAAAGTCCTATAGCAACAGACTAATAAGAAGGAAACAATGAGAGATTTTAAATGAGCATCATCCATCCAGTACCCTGAAAGAGGAAGGGGTCCTGTTGAAATGTGATCGTGTAATTACATGCTGTATCAAGTACTGAATCCTCATGCCAATTCCACTCTTATCACTTAACTCGGCCCTGGCTTTTTTTTATTTCTTGTGTAATCATTCTTTGTCCCTTGTCCTGTGTGTACTTTCTTCCCAGACCTGAGAGAGGGCACTTTTGTGTCCAAAAGCCTGTCTAACATATCTCCCAACAATACAGTGGTCCAAGTAAAAATCTTGACAAAAAATAAAAATCCTGTCCCCTGACATTTTCAGCTCTTCATCTGGTAATGTGGTTTCTCCTGCTCTCCATGCCGCACCCCACCCCCACCCCACACCCTGCCTTATTGTCCAGTCAGACCATCCAAGTGGGTCCCAGTTCAGATGTCTTGACCCAGGCTCCTTCGCATCTCCAGCCCTCACTGGTCTCTGTCTTGGCTCCTTGTTCCACTTTCTCTCGACCTCCCCTGGTAGCCTCTGGTCCTTGTCACTTCTTGTAATTAAAGCTCTTCTCCTGCATTAAGATCAAGCAGTTTCCTTCTCTATGCTCTCTAGACCTATAAGAGGGTCATTGATAGCACAAAAGACAGGTTCCCCTTCTCTTAGCTCAGGTGTCTAGACTTGCAGTAGCTCAGAGCTACATTTCCCAAGAAAATCCTGCTCACCTCTGTCCTGGGGCATACCTTGTGTGGACAGGACTCCTTGGGGAAGTTAGCTTCTAAATTCCAAGAATGCAACTATTCCTGAAAAACCTGTAATTTTGCCTGATTTAGGCAGATTATTTTGAGGATGACTAATCATTTCTTGACAGATTTCAAGCTCTATTTTCAAAGCATAGAAGTTCTAAAAAAGGTCAAGAGAATCCAGTAGACATGATATTTTTTTCTCCTGTAGCTTCTCAAATGCTTGAACCTTTTGGACTGAAACTTTTTTAAAAATGAGTGCGAGACATTACATCTTAGGATAATGCTGAGCTCAGACAATTAAAGTATGACAAAGTTCTAAGCAACCGAAAGAAGTGTCTTACTTTGGGAAGTGTCAGAAAATCTTAATAATGGGTGGTACAAACAGATTTGGCAATAATTATTATAGGTTCCAATTTGGTATAAGTATATCCTGAAGAACTTACTAGAAATAAGTTGTTTGATCTTCCTTGCCCTTTCAATTTGCTTGGGAGACCCCTAACACTTTGACATACGAACAAAGAACCAGATATCCAGGTTAGGCACCTCCAATCTTTCCTGTAGCACAATGTATGTTTTTAATGTAAGATTTCAGCCTTTGGGGGAAGAAGGGGGAGTTTTGCCAAAAGCATGAGGAGCAATTTAGAGAGAGAAGGTACTAAATACAGGATTTTATTTTTGCTTTGATCCAAAACCCATTTGAAATCAATGGGTATATTCCAATTGCCCTTGGTGGGTCCTGGATCAAGTTCTAAAGCTGGTAAAAACAAGTAAAAATTGTAAAGTTAAGCTGTGTTCTTTTGTTTGTTTTGTGAACAGATCGTCCTGGTCTTGTAAATGTAGGACACATTGAAAAGATGCAGGAGAGCATTGTACATGTACTAAAACTACACTTGCAAAACAACCATCCTGATGACATCTTCCTTTTCCCAAAACTTCTTCAGAAAATGGCTGACCTCCGGCAACTTGTTACAGAGCATGCTCAACTTGTTCAGATAATCAAAAAGACTGAATCTGATGCACACTTACACCCTTTACTACAAGAAATCTACAGGGATATGTATTAAGGGGTTTTGGTATTTTTTCTGCAGTATTTAAAGCCAACAATAACACTAATAATAGATGGGAGCAAAATTACTTTGCACAATTATCTGCTGTGCTTTAACCCCAAAGCATGAAGAAAACAGAGAACTGGAATATCACACTTCTTTTTTGCCTTGAATTCTTCTTTTTAAGAAATTTAAGGACACTTATGCAGTGCTCGTGAATTTGCTCATAAAAGGTTCTGAATAATTTAAAATTTGGGGAATAGTGAGAATTTTGTATCGTTTTGTATTAACAAATTTGAATCTATTAAGTAGCATAAATAGATCTTGATTGATCAAAATTTTATATTCTATATTGATTTAGTCATTTAACCTTTAATTTAATTGGACAAATTCTCTCAAGGTAAATGCACTATCTTCTATAGATTATGCACTCTTGTTTTATATACTCTCATGGTCACTGAAAGCCAGCTTGTACTTTCTGACTTTTCTTGAATAAGGCAGTCAGTCTAAATCTATTGAGTGGTTGGGAATAATTATATATTCACATTTTTATAGTTTGAAAGATCTTTTGCTTTGCTGCTCTCAGAATTAGGTAAGTAACAGTACTGCTATAGTATTGTACTGCTTGGGTAACTTTTAGATTAGCCTGTTGAAAAGGCTCTCTTTATTTAACATTTTTTTAAAAGTACAGCACTCAGATATATTTTACCCAGATGCGTGTTGTTGAATTAGCACATGAAAGTGACTGAATGCTTGTTTCAAAAGTGTTCTAAGCAAATAACAACAAAATGTCCCCTATGGCTGGATACATTAATACTGTGTTTGTCTTGGAGAAGTCAGAATAGCTCAAGACGAAACTTTAACCTCAAAACATCATTTAAGTTAGCAGGACTTAGGGAGAATCTCAGAGATCTGATGCTTTCCCCCAAAGAAGCTGAAGTACAATTTGTCAACATGCTGTTGCTTAAACTGATGGTCTACTCTGAAAAAAATGATTTTGTAAATACAGCACTTTCTTTCTTAAAAGGTCTGGTACCCTACTTGTTTACATTTCTGACAGATCAACTATTTTACATTCTTTGTATCTGTTAGTCCCTCAAAGCTAACAGCTCTCTTAGCCTGCACTTCCTTCTGTTCATTCATATGCATTGTCAACAGAATAGTTAACTAAATTTAATTGCATCCCATTTTGTCCACATGTGTATGCACATATAGAGATTACGTTTGCAATGGAAGCAGAATTTGTAGATACTGGACTCCTACAGACATTCAGTTTCTCCTGGAAGAGTCTCTGCTTTCCCAGGAGAAACCGTGAGTGTACAGATGTTCAGTCTTTTTCTCTCAGAATAAAATGGCCACTCCAGGAGAAAGATAACCTGGATAGCAACTAGGGTTACATCATTCCCAGGACAATTTCTCCTGAGAAAGTGAAAGTCTGTGCACACTTTGCTTCTTCTCAGAAGAAAACAGTCCTCCAGCATACCCGCTTCCATCCCTCCTTCCTTCCCTCCCAGGAGACAATGTGTCACTCCTTGGACTCTACTGTTCCAGCAGAGCATAAAACACACCCCTTTCACAATGTCCACATTGTGCTGCAGGGAAACACAGGTTGACTGTGGGCAGTTAGGGCTGTCCTATGCACTGCTGCCATCTGATGCTGGCCAGACTAAACTGATTGCAAAGATATGGAAGCGGGTAACATTTTGGGGAAAATGGCTTGCGTTATGTAACTGGGAACAAAATTTGATCCTCAGAATACCACTTAATGGTGATACTGTATAAGCCAAAATATAACTGTGGTTTTCTGTTCCCATGTTGCCTGTACGCCTGTAAGTTAGGTTACTGAAATATAATGAGTGTGGAACCCCATGATGCCATTTTTACAGTTGTTTTCAGAGATTTCTGTGCAATGAATGAAAATAACTGCTAGCCATGAGTTTCTTTGGGAATTAACATTTAATACATATTTATTAAAAATATTATTCTCTTTTCTTTATCTGTATTTTCTTTTCTTATCCTAACAGTTTCTCTATTGTCCTTTTTCTGTGGCTTGTTACAACAGTGTTTTTTGTTTTTCTTGGGTGGGGGGGGAGTTGGAAGCCATTCTCAACTTTTTCTTGACTTTTAGGCTTTCTCTGTCAGAAAAGGGTCAATTTTTGCTTGTGTTATCACAGTGTTTGTGGACCTCAATCTTAAACCCACATTAACAGAATCAAGTATACTTTTTGAGGCCCAGAACATGGGAAAATTATCTTCATTTTAATTACAGAACATGTTTCTGTTAGAAATGTACTAGTTCTTTGAGGATCTTGGTAAGTTCTGGTTCATATTTTAAAAGCATTTTTTTTATTTCAAGTTTGATACTATACTATTAAAACGATATTAAAAATAAAGCTATGTATACAGTATGACATCATTATACCAAATCCTAGGTTGGTTTTTTTTTTGGTGTTTTCTTTTGGGGGGGGGGGGGGGGGTTTTAAAACCCCCCTTTTTAAAAAAAAACCCCACGGGAGGAC